ATGCCCCCCCCCCACAGGTACCCCATGGCACTGGGCAACTTGGCTGATTTGGAAGAGCTGGAACCCACGCCCGGCGGGCCAGACCCCCTCACCCTCTATCACAAGGTGGGGGCTGCGGGTCGGGAGCGAGGGGCATGGGTTGGGTTGGGAGCTGTGGGTCGGGAGTGAGGGGCCCCTGGCACGGGGCACTTCTTCCTCTCCCTTGTTTGCCCCCCCAGGGCATCAGCTCTGCGCGGCAGCACTACAGCAACGACCACATCTACCCCTACATGGGCGGGCCAGACCCCCTCACCCTCTATCACAAGGTGGGGGCTGCGGGTCGGGAGCGAGGGGCATGGGTTGGGTTGGGAGCTGTGGGTCGGGAGTGAGGGGCCCCTGGCACGGGGCACTTCTTCCTCTCCCTTGTTTGCCCCCCCAGGGCATCAGCTCTGCGCGGCAGCACTACAGCAACGACCACATCTACCCCTACATGTACCTGGCCGGCTACCACTGCCGCAACAAGAACGTCAAGGAGGCCTTGCAGGCCTGGGCCGACACCGCCACCGTCATTCAGGAGTGAGGGCCCCCCCGCATACCCTGCCCGGGGCCAAGGGACACAGTCCAGGCCCGATCTTGGGGGGGTCCTGACTGCAGCAGGGGGAGGGGACCTGACTTGATTCCAAGTCTGATATGGGGGGTGGGGGGGTCTCGGTGAGTAAGGACCTGATCCTGGGGGATCACGGCTGGGGAAGGGGCCAGGCCTGACCCCCACCTTGCCCCCCCCTTCCCCCAGCTACAACTACTGCCGGGAGGACGAGGAGATCTACAAGGAGTTCTTCGACATCGCCAACGACGTCATCCCCAACCTGCTGAAGGAGGTGGCCAGCCTGGCCGAGCCCCCCGAGGACAGGGGGCCTGGGGAGCGCCCCGAGGTGAGTGCCGGCAGGGGTGTGTGGGGGGGTGTCCTGGGTTAACCCCTGTTGTGCCAGGCCCTGGCAGTCACCCCCTCCCCATCCCCCCAGGGGTCGCCGGCGCAGGGCGGGGGCTCGGCCCTGCAGGATCCCGAGTGCTTCGCCCACCTGCTGCGCTTCTACGACGGCATCTGCAAGTGGGAGGAGGGCAGCCCCACGCCCGTGCTGCACGTGGGCTGGGCCACCTTCCTCGTGCAGTCGCTGGGCCGCTTCGATGGGCAGGTGCGGGGCACGGGTCGGGAGTGAGGGGCGCTGTGGGTTGGCAACGAAGGGCACTGGGGCTGCCAGGGCACTGCAGGGTGGGAGCGAGGGGCACCAGAGGGGCTGTGGGTTGGGAGTGAGGGGTGCCAGGGGGCTGTGGGATGGGCATGGTGGGGGGGAGGGGGGCGGCGCCACAGATCGGGGTGAGTGGTACCATGTGCTGGGGCCTGCGGGGCAGGAGTGAGGCCCCCCCCTCGCCAGCTCATGGTGTGGTCCCCAGGTGCGGCAGGAGGTGACGCTGGTGGCGCGGGAGGCGGAGGCGCATGAGGATGAGGAGCCAGGGGCCGAGGACCCCCGCGAGGGCCGGCGCCGGGGGCCGCGGCGCGAGTCCAAGCCCGAGGAG